AAATACACATCCTACTAGCTCTGGGAAGATGTTGATTATCTGGCGATGTGGTGACAAAAGCACCTGAAAGTAATCAAAGGAAGCCACTTAGTTACATTTGAACTTGCTGTTATTGTTCTGAGCTTTTTGGTTTCTGCTGAGGATATCCTTTTCCCTTCCTTTATCTTTTTTACAGCGCCATTATCATTTAGACCGGATGAATGTGCAAAACAATGAGTAGTCTGTAGTGTGTATCTTTAAGATAATGATAAAAAGGTCCCTGGAGGACATTTTATAGTGAAATCAGGACTGCAAATTTGATGTTGGAGTTTCCAGGGAGGAAAAAACTTAGACGTTACTTTCCTCAGCTGCTTCCTTTTGAGGATGCTATTCATGTGGGGATTTTGTAAAGTTTAATTTTCCAGAGTGTTTTTACATCATGTATTTTTCAATGTGATAAAAATAATTTATTTTAAAGCAGTCTCTGAAAAGAGGTTGTAGGTTTTCTGTTACAGTGGTTCTCACGACATGATTAACAGAAGATTCTCCATGGAGGAAGAAGAGTTGTATTTTAGCATTATGTTGTAATACTATGTTTGTATGTGCTTTTTCTTTTCTTTTTTTTTTTTTTTGGGACGGAGTTTCGCTCTTGTTACCCAGGCTGGAGTGCAATGGCGCGATCTCGGCTCACTGCAACCTCCGCCTCCTGGGTTCAGGCAATTCTCCTGCCTCAGCCTCCTGAGTAGCTGGGATTACAGGCACGCACCACCATGCCCAGCTAATGTTTTGTATTTTTAGTAGAGACGGGGTTTCACCATGTTGACCAGGATGGTCTCGATCTCTTGACCTCGTGATCCACCCACCTCGGCCTCCCAAAGTTCTGGGATTACAGGCTTGAGCCACTGCGCCCGGCCTTGCTTTTTCTTTTTAAAAAATGTAGTTTAATAGTTCATCAGAGGTAACCAGTGAAGATTGTGGCCACTGATGTCTTTTATCTCTTATCTCATTAGGGTGGAACAGGACCAAAACGTTTGAGAAAATTAGTTTATTACCTTCTATCAATTTCTTTAATAGGTTTTGGAGAAAAAGGGTAGCAATAGAATATGGTTTATTGACTTCTATTAAATGCTGGGGGGAGCCTGATGGCCTTGAAACTCTTTTGCCAATTTAGTGGGGCATTTAGTGTTTAGAATGCCTACTGTCAGGGCCAGTGCAGAATCTGTTATAAATGGGCTGTAGTGGTGACTATAACTGTTCAAAAGACTTCCTTTTGTTGATTGTTGTTAAACAAATACTGCTGGTGTCATATATTCGGTCTTTCATTGAGATCTTTCTTGGGTGTGTTATGATTTTGGAAATTAAACATTGTTATATATGTAAAATATGTAGCAATTTAAAAGAGACCAACCTTGGCTTGAAGCCTGGCTTGTTGTCATAATCATGTGCCATGTGGACCTTTCGATAGCTTTCTACTTATTCTCTTTCTTTCTTTCTTTTTTCTTTTAAAAATTTTCCTCTAGGCTATCTTCCATAGAACAGGTAAACTGATCTTTTTTTTTTCTTTTCTTTTTTTTTTTTCAGAATGAGTTTTAAAACTCTTGAAGGCTTCCTATTGCCCTTAAATTCAATTCAGACTCCCTATCATAGCCCACTTAACTCTAAGCCTCATCCAGTGCCATTCTCTCTGGTCTTACCTCTGTTTCTACATTAAGCTTTTTTTGGTCTCTGGCTCTTCGTTTTTTCTGTTTCTTTTTTCTAGAGTTTTTCCTTATCTGGCTCTTTCAGGCTTCAGTTCCAGTGCCACCTCCATAGGGAGGCCTTCTGTATTAGTTTCTTAGGGCTGCAGAGTATCACAAACTGGGAGCCTTCAAACAAAAGAAATTCATCTTCTGACTTCCAGAGGCCATAAGTCCAAACTCAGGGTGTCAGCAGGACTGGTTACTTCTTGGGGACTCTGAGGGAGAGTCTGGTCTGTGCCCCTTGCTAAGCTTCTGCTGGCTGTTGGCAGTCTTTTGGCGTTCTTTTGCTGGCAGCTGCATGACTCCAATCACTGTTTCTATTGTCACATCGCCGTCTTGCTTCTTTGCATCTGTGTCTTCACATGGCATTCTTCTCTCTGTGCCCATCTCTTGGTCTCCTCTTTTAAGAACATCAGTCATATTGGATTAAGGGCCTACCCTTCTCCAGCATGACCTCATCTGAATTAATGACATCTGCAGTAATCCTATTTTTAAATAAAGTCACATTCTGAAGTTCCAGGAAGGACATGAATTTTGGGGGGATGCTATTCAACCCAGTATACCTACCTGACTTTCAATTTAAAGTAGGCTGTGTGGCCGGGCGCGGTGGCTCAAGCCTGTAATCCCAGCACTGTGGGAGGCCGAGGTGGGTGGATCACGAGGTCAAGAGATCGAGACCATCCTGGTCAACATGGTGAAACCCTGTCTCTACTAAAAATACAAAAAATCAGCTGGGCCTGGTGGTGCATGCCTGTAATCCCAGCTACTCAGGAGGCTGAGGCAGGAGAATTGCCTGAACCCAGGAGGCGGAGGTTGCGGTGAGCCGAGATCGCGCCATTGCACTCCAGCCTGGGTTACAAGAGCAAAACTCTGTCTCAAAAAAAATAAAAAAATAAAAAAAAAATAAAGTAGGCTGTGTTATTGGAGCTATACAGTAGTCCTCCCTTCTTTATGGTGGATAAGTTCCAAGACCCCCAGTGGATGCCAGAGAGGTAGGTTAGTATCGAACCCTATATATACCATGTTTTTTCCTATACATACATTCCTGTGGTAAAGTTTTATTTATAAATTAGGCACAATAAGAGATTAACAACAATTATGACACATTATGTAAATGAAGAGGAAACAATTATGACACATTATGTGAATGCATAGTCTCTCTCTCTCAAAATATCTTGTTGTACTGTACTCACCTATTTTCTGACCATGGTTGACCATGGGTACCTGAAACTGCAGAAAGTAAAACCATGGATAAGGTCTGTAAACTTACTCACCAATTCTTTATTCCTGGCCAGTGATGAGCAAGGCACTTCATTAGGCCACATGTTACATATTGTACTCAGCTCGGGGCACACCATCTGTAAGAGAGAATGTTGATTGATCCAGAGTATGAGCAGGGTTAGGAGGACTTTAGAATATAGCGTTATATGGGAAGTAGTAAGAACTGGGGTTGCTCAGTTGGAGAACAGAAGATTTGTGAAGTCATCACAGCTCTCTGCAGGAGGAGGGGTAGTATGCAGGATTGGATTGTAAGTTACATAGATCACAGGTCTGAACTCCTGTACGTGAGAAACATGGTTTTGCCTTTTTTGGGGTTTGAGGAGTCTTTGTCCTTTTATATTATACCACCAGATACCAGCTTCAGTCTCTCAGAAGATGTGATGTAGTTATAACAGTGGTATCTTGAGAACATTTTGCATGTATAGAAACATTCAAAATAGTCCAGGTGCGGTGACTCTTGTCTATAATCCTAGCACTTTGGGAGGCTGAGGCAGGTGGATTACTTGAGGTCAGGAGTTTGTGAGCAGTCTGGGAAACATGGCAAAACCCCGTCTCTATTAATACTATAAAAATTAGCTGGGCATGGTGGGGTGTGCCCATAGTCCCACTACTTGGGAGGCTGAGGCATCAGTTGAACCCGAGAGGCGAAGGTTGCATGAGCCAAGGGGGCCACTGCACTCCACCTGGGTGACAGAGCAAGAGTCTGTCTCAAAAAAACAAACAAACAAACAAAAAAAAAACATTCAGAACAATAGATTATAAAGGAAGGAAAACAATAGTAATACATCATCTTATGTTTCACAAAACAGAAGAATATAAATTTGTAAGGCTTTGATGATATGTAACCTTATTTTTATAAGATTATCATTGAAATGTTTATATATCATATATATGAGTTCTGGCAAGATTATTTACTCCTTAAAATAGAATAAATACAACATGATTGAGATTGCCTTGCAAATCAGCAAACAGATTATGGCAGCATTTGTCTGTGGTGGACAGGACCTCATAGCTCTGGATATATTCAGGGCTGCATGGAGATAGGAATGACCTTACTTCTCTTGCCCCCTGTCCTCTGTCACAACCCCGTTATGGAATTCTTATCTTAGAAACTTCTCTGCTCCTGATCCTGGGTTGTGAATCCCTGCTAAGCAAGCTCATATGTAGGCAGGTGGTTGTGCCTACAAATTCAGTCTCCAGCCTCAGGAACTTTATGGAGGCCTAGGCATCAGGTTTTCCTTCCATGCTACACTTTTACCTTTGTCTTTAAATCATTGCCATCCTGGACTCTCTTTTACTATCCCTTTTAATAGATCACCTTGTCCCTCTACTTCATTGACTAGAAGCTAAGGTGTTTTATGAGAGACATTTTGACTAGAACCCTTTCTAATTAGTTTTCCTCCCTGGCTAGTTAGACATAACTCCTGCAGCCATCTGTTTCCCAGTGGAGAAGGGGTTCCTTGTCCTCCTCAAGTCAGATCCTTCTGTTGGTGCTATTGACCCCATTTCCTCCCTCCCTCCCCAGGATCTTGCTGCATCACATATCCCTCACTTACCTATTGTCTCAACTATTCTCTCCAATTACTTTTTGTCCTAGGGCATTATACCTCTCCCCTGTTTCTTCCTTCTTAGAACTCTGTTGTTGGAAAAACATATTTTACACTTTGATCAAATCAACTTCTGTACCTGAAAAAAAAAATTCTTCTCTGTGTCGAAGTTCAGCTCAGACATTACTTCCTCGGTGCAGCCCTGTATAATTTCCTCAGGCAGGATCATGGCTTTGGCTTGTAGCTCCCACAGTGCTTTGCAAACAGTGCTTAACCACACCACTGTCTGGTTGTTTACTAGGACATTCATCACTCCTGTTAGATTCAGAACTTGAGAAATGGAATTGTATCTTAGTTTTTTCTTAATACTTGTCTTTTAGTGAGTACTCAATAAATACTTTTAAATGAAAGAAAAATTTAATATTAATGTGACTTACTGCAATATAATTTACATATGAAATATGTGCTGGGCCCGCAAGCGGGGCTCCCGGGTGAGCTTGCCCAGGGTCTGCTGCACAGAGCGCGCCCAGGTAGCTCCTGCTGCGGACACCTCAGGCAGTGTTCTTGTGGTCGAGGCCGGAAGGTGATGCTGTCAGCACTGGGCATGCTGGTGGCAGGGAGTGTGGGGCTGACCGTGGCTCCATTCTGCTGTGAGTGCCAGTGACCTGGAGCTGCATGCCCCCAGTTATCCGTGGTCTCACCGTGTCCTCCTTTCTTCCTTGGACCATACCAGCATCCGTAGGGGTTTTCGGGTATGTAAGCAGGTGTGCTCCTCCTGCCACAGCATGGACTAAGTGGCTTACTGCCACCTGGTGGGCGTATACTACACTGAGGCTAAAGCTAAGGTGCTGGCTGAGGAGGTGGAGGTTCAAGATGGCCCCAGTGAAAATGGGGAGATGTTCATGCGGCTAGGAAAGCTGTATGACTATTTCCCCAAACCATACCCCAACCCTGAGGCTGCTCGAGCTGCCAGTAATGGGGCATTGGCCCTGACCTCAGCTACACTGTGCGAGCTAGGGGATGGTAGTGAGGACTACATCTTCTTCCTGCTCACGGGCTACACTTCGAGCCACCCACCAGGGTGTTACTGCCGAGAGGTCTCTACTTCAACCCCTGTTTTCCTGGCCAGGCCATTGGCATGGCCCCTCCCATCTACACAGATGTCCTGGAGTTTGACGATGGTACCCCAGCTGCCATGTCCCAGGTAGCCAAGGACGTGTGCACCTTCCTGTGCTGGGCATCTGAGCCAGAGCACGACCAACGAAACTGCATGGGGCTCAAGATGTTGATGACGAGGAGGCTACTGGTACCTCCTCGTACGTGTAGATGAGCTACACCATGAAGCGGGCTAAGTGGTCAGTCCTGAAGAATTGGAAGCTGACATAGTATAGTGAAATATAAATGTAAACATGAACCTTATAAAATATATATCTAAAATGAGATTTTAAATGTTTACCAATCTGTTTTTGAATTATCTTATTATGCATATAGAACAATGCATTATCCTAACCCCAGAATCCCCTCATTCTCTTTTACAGTCACTTTTTCCCTGCAATGGTAACCAATATCCTGGTTTCTGACAGCACAGAATTTTTTTTTCTTTCTTTCTTTTTTTTTTTTTTCAAATTTAAGATGGGGTTTCACCATGATGGCCAGGCTGGTCTTGAACTCCTGACCTCAGGTGATCCACCCCCCTCGGCCTCCCAAAGTGCTAGGATTACAGGCGTGAGCCACTGTGCCCGGCTGACAGAACAAAATTTTTAAACATGACTTTAAAAAGAAGGGGGATGATTGCTCTGTTTCAATTTTGTGAATATATATTTATTTAGAAAAGAAAGATTTAAAATAATTGGCATCTTTGTGTCTGTTTTTTATACAAGAGTTTGGACTTGAGATCTAAGTTTCCTTTCTGTCCTAAGATTTTATGAAACTTAGTTAAAACTTAACGAACCAGGTGTGGTGGTGTGTGCATTTAGTTCCAGCTACTCTCAGTCCTAGGAGAGAGGATCGTCTGAGCCCAGGAGTTCAAGGCTGCAGTGAGCTATGATCGGGCCACTCTACTTTGCCTGGACCACAGAAGGATACCCCCATCTCTTAAAAAACAAAAAAACTTAACGGAGCTTTCCGACATTACTACTTATGTAAGAGCGTCCTCTAGTGGTGTAACATTTCCTAAAATTTATATGCCATAGTTTATTACAGCAAAACTTTGTCTCTAATTTGGGAGCTTGAGCTGTGGCCAGATAATTCTCTTAGTCCAAAGCTTCCTGAAGCCATGGGAAGGCATTGATTATGTGGTGCTTTCACAGAACAATTCGGCCAACAGATAGAATCTCCCTCTAATGAAACACTTAACACTGTTATTTGACAAAACATGTTATTTCTTGATTTACTGGAGCATTTTAGGTGTTCTCAAGGGCAGGATTGTTTCACCTTTGTTTTAGCAGTAAAGCAAAGAGTGTTTTGATTTTACAACATTTTGATAACTTAGTGATTTTTCCTCTGGGGCCCAGAGTTCTTGGTTAGAGGAAAGGAAGCTTATTAAGCACTGCAGAATTTTTGGAGAGGGTGTTTTCCCTCCCCATTTGGTTACTAAGCACATTTTTTCCCCCACATGTAGATAGTTGCTGTTGTGGTATTTATATATACCATTATTGAATTTATAATAGCTTCTTATACATTTTCTCAAGCACTGGCTACTAATGTATAACATATCTGTGATAATTTTAACTAAATTAACAAGGGAACCTCATACTCAGAAACACATGAATCACTTACTTAGAAGATTTGAACTGCTTCACAGTTTAACAATTATCTATAAAGTATATGCCATGTACAAGGACACTGTGGTAGCTAATGTGTTCTTGCCTTTCAAATTATCTGAGTATAGGAGATTGGGGCACCAATTTTCCCTATGATGGACTCTCCCATTATCACTTTTTTTCTTCTCTTCCTCATTTACCATTTTCTTTTTAATTAAATTTATTTCTAAGGTCTCATTTTTAATAGTAGGGGCATGTTAGGACAAAAAAAAAGCATAGGAGTCAGGGAATGCCGTTCTGTCTGCTGGTTAACACTTACAGAAGGTGTGTAAAGAGGAGCATTGTCTTATTACATACAAAAATGATTGTCTTTGAAGGATATCTCTGAGAGGACTTCCATCTTTTTTGTTAAGATAGACGCTTGACCCTCTAAGGTTGGCAATGAAAAGAGCATCTTTGTGGGAAGAGAGGACAGTTCTTTTCTGGACTCGCCTTCCTCCTGGAGGGACTTGTAAACATTTCCTTTGCCACCACCACACTGTCACTGGGGGATACTATTTCCCCTTTAATTCCTTAAGTCAAATTTAGTCTCCAATACTTTCTGGTAACCTCACTGTACAGATGAGTAAAGGTAGAATATTTAAGCAGGATTTTTGAAAGGCTTTGACATAATAAAGAAGAAATAAACCAGGAGTATTCCAAGAGCCAGAGATCTGACTCAAAAGATGTGGCTTTGCTCTCTGATCTTGTCCTAGCTCTAGGGTGCCCATGTGAGAGGGACAGCTTAGTAGGATCCCACTCCTAGACAGCCATATTTCTCCAACTGTAGATCTAGGGCTTGTCTAAACTTCACCTTTCTTCCTCATTTTAGTCCTTCTTTGGGAACCTGTGTTCTTCTAACAGAAAGGTGTTCATCCTTTCAGGGGATGTCAAGCTTGCCCAGAAAGTTGTCAGTCTCCATTTAAGAACTCTAGTGGAATGTAATGCCACAATCCCCAAATTAACATAGGACACACACATCAAATGGGAGAAAGAGGGTCTTATTTTATTTTAGCATCTCTGCATTAGAGTTGGAAATCAGAGCACACGCAAAACTCCTTTAAGATGCTTTGATTTATTGGAGGCATTAATATTTTTGGTCATGTATATCTCTGGGTAAACTTTTTGTATCTTTAGTAAAATTTCAGTTAACTGTTATTAGATATCTGGGTGCCTGAATAAATCCAACTGCATACTGAGTTTTCTAAAACCAAAGGCTGCGGAGAAGGAGTCAATGTGATTTTGGGTTTTTTCAGTGTCCTAATGGAGTTAGCAATAGTAGTGTAGTAACAATTTTTGTCAGGTCAATGAAGAGACCCACATTCCACATATTCTACAATGTCACTGTTAGTAAATGGCTGGGATATTTGTCCTTCATTTTGCAAATTTAGAAGAAAGATACCCAGAGTGTCCCTTACTGAGGGTTGAAGTTTATGGTTAGCTTTATCTGCATGAGCCTGTTAGAATGCAAGGAGCAGAAAGATCTGGGTTTTCTTGGAGGTGGGATTGAGTAGGGATTAAAAGCACATGAAAAGAATTACAGTTGATTCCTAATTATTAGTTACCTTACCTTGGCAAATCTGGTCTCTCTGAGCATCAGCCTTCTTATTTTAAAACTGGATGATGAAAGTGCCCCCAGAGGGTAACTGCTGAGAGGGGGAAGGGAGTGCTGCATAAAGCAGCAGCACGGTGGCAGACACGTGATAGGTGCTCTGCATTATTCCCTCCCACCCCCACCTCTCCCACCCGCACTGCCCCCAACTTGCCAGCAAAACTAACAGATGTAATGTTGCTACTGATTTTTTCTGGATGCGAACTTTATTCTTGAGTGGTTTTAAGTCCAAATAATTACTTTGTACAATAAACATCATTTAAAGGATGTTCTCTTTTCTTCTTGCCTACCATTCTCACAGATCTATTTCTTCTCCACATGGTAAAGTGGAGAAGCATGTTTTAAAATTTCTTGGATCATAAAAAAAATTAAAAAAGAAATTTCTTGGACTATGTGCTAGAAAGAACTGCTGGGCATGACTAGAGAGGTTTGTTTCTGAGGTCATTCTGTGTTGCCTTTACAGTGCCATGATTTAATTGGTTCAATAAGCCAAACTGCAAAAATAAAGTTCTAGCTTTGCCTCAGCCTTGTGACCCTGGCCAAGTCATCTGACCTCTTCGAGCCGAATTTCTTCAGTTGAGCAACACAGATGGCATGATTTCTAAGGCCCTTGTCAACTTTTCATGTTCTGATTCAAAAATCTTTATTTGGGAGCCCAAAACAGGAAGTGGCATGTGGGTGCCACTTCTCAACAGCAGAGGGCATACTGCCCCTAGTGTGCCTGGCCATTCGGTTTTGAAATCTAGCCAGAAGTTGATATCCTTGATGATAGGAAGGAGCCAAGGAAATTCTGTTAATTCATGTTACGCAAAGGATGTTTCACTACATATTTCCAATTGTTTAGTACTTAGGTGAAGCACTAAGAAAATAGGAGATTTGAAACATTCTAAGGTGCTGTAATTCTGTGAAGAACTTAATCTGCCTTCCATCCAAGTACTCCATGCTTAAGATTGGTGTGCAAATGGGATAGAGAAGAGAACTAACATCTTTTAAGCATATATATATCAGGAACTGTGCCTGGTATTTTAGGTACATTTTTCGTATCCTCACAGCAATCCTCTGAATTATATGTTGTTATCCTTATCTTACACAGGAAGATACTAAGGTTCAGAGAGGTTAAGTGATTTGCCTGAGGCTTCACAGAAGAGATTCAAGTTCAGGTCTCTTAACTCCCAAGTCTACTTTCTTGCCAGGGTTCCTCTCTCTTTTCCCCAATCTTAATAATCAAGGATGATTGCTAGGAGCAGGAGTACCTTGGGCACGGCCACACAAGGGAATTTGGCTTTCTCTGGTTCTGAAGTTCTTGTGGCCTTTGTAATTCTAGATGGAAGTGTTTCTCTGGCAAGAACTTTTTATCAGTTATATTCAACATGACATATACAAATACCCGTGTTTTCAAATTTGAAAATTTTAGATTGGATTATTAGTGTTTTTCTTTGTGGGCTGCTTTTAAAGGCCACCGCAATATCTCATTTTACATGAAGACTCAGTTCTGTAGGCAGTGGGTGAGGTGAAAGTCATTAGAGCAAAATTATCTTCAAGAATTTCGTGGGAAGGACTCTTCCTCGAGAGCCACGAGCTTCTTTTCTTTAAGTTCTCCCTTGTTGAAACCTGCTGAGCTTCAACAGGTGTTCCTGTGGTGCTTTCTCACGTTGAGTGTCAAATATTACAGTTAGCTTATATTTGGGGGTATGTTCAGTGGTAATTCATATCTTTAGACACCAGAATCTCATTCAACATAGTGCGATGCTTACAGTGTTAGGTATTCTGAAACCTAGAACAAGAGAAGGAGTAGCAAATTAGTGTCTTATTTTGATGCTTGTTCTAACGTAGTGGTTTTCACAACTTTACAGAATCACCTGTAGGGCTTGTTAATAACAGCTTACTGGGTTTTACCCCACAGTTTCTGATTCAGTAGGTCTGGGATTCAGCCAGAGGGATTGCATTTCTAACAAGTTCCCAGGTGATGCTGA